CGCCGTCTTGGGGGAAATGTTCCCGGACCCGTTAATAGTATGTAGTTTAGAAAAGTAATTAACATTCTGAATTCTCACTTGTGACGATACTGCCTCATTAGACGTGCTTCTTTGTACATATCATCCATTATTGATTGATTTTCCTTATCTACTTTTGTCTGTAAGTTGTTGTATCAACTAAGAGAACCTGTTTATGATGTTTATAGTGGTCTCTAAGTGTACGCGCGTGTAAAGTGCAATAGCCTAGACGCAACGTCGATATCTATGTATCTCAACATACAATACTAGTAAATTCGGCTCACGTGTACACTAGAGTAATTCTAACACGGGTGAGCCATGAGTGATCAAGCAAATTTTCTCACATCCGTTAAATTTCCACGTCATTCCAATTTATAAGTTTTTAAGCAGCTATTACCACAGACTCACCAATTTTACGGCGACCTGAATTGGGGGATCATTCGGGGTTTCCTGCATAGTTCCAACCCACACCTCACCAAATGCACCAGCACCAATTTTCGCACTTAGCTTCACCTTGTCACTTCGTAATTCCCATTTCTGTTTAGGAATCGGTGTTTTCAGCACGACACCATCTTTCACAGGTGTTCCACTTGAATGATGGTATCTTAAATATTGCATCTAAGTTATGAGAAAAATTGTATTTTTTCAGACGGTCGAGCCGTTATCATTAAAATGGCGGAGCCCTTCCAAGTTCAAGCCCATACAATGAGAAAGTCTGATGTGAGCGATCGTGGAAAGCCTTATTTGTAGAGTTGTGAAGACATTGCTCTTCACCTTGAAGGCACAGCCCATCTAAAGTGTTCCTGAGATTTCACCATTGATTGAACTTCTGACCTTAAGAACGGTGTCAGGTCGGAAAGCAGCCTCCATAGGGCAAAATAAGGGCCTCAAGACAAGGTTGGCCTACGTAGAAACCTAAAGGTGGACGAGTTCTCCCGGCGATATTGAGGCTATGAAGGTTGCAAAATTCGCACCGGGAAGCGCATGTTGCACGGAAGCAGCCTAGTGTAGCAAGCTGTATGCAAAGGTACACACGTTTGGACAGCTCGTCCAAACGTCTCCATACAACTTCTGTCGTCAGTATAAGAATTACATTTTGTAGAACCTATATGTTCCTCTAAAAGCGAATTTCGGTGCTATTCCACTATTNAGACAAGGTTGGCCTACGTAGAAACCTAAAGGTGGACGAGTTCTCCCGGCGATATTGAGGCTATGAAGGTTGCAAAATTCGCACCGGGATGCGCACGTTGCACGGAAGCAGCCTAGTGTAGCAAGCTGTATGCAATGGTACACACGTTTGGACAGCTCGTCCAAACATCTCCATACAACTTCTGTCGTCAGTATAAGAATTACATTTTGTAGAACCTATATGTTCCTCTAAAAGCGAATTTCGGTGCTATTCCACTATTACAACCCCAAAAACTCAAAGTTTTAATTTTCGATGAAACTTCGAAAATAGGGGTAATCCGATGCCCTGATAACGAATATGACCTCCACTTTTGGCGCTGGCGCCATTTGGCGCCAATCGGCGCCAATTTGCGCTAAGGGTGTTTTCACCAAATTTCCTGAAAACTTGCGTTTAGGGGTTATTAGAGGTCCTGATAACTAATATAACATCCATTTTACGCGCTGAGGCTGTTTGGCGCGAGGACAAGGCATACAGGTTGTTGGGGAGACGATGTGGCTCAATAAAAGTTTTATTCGTTGTTTGAGGACACAGAAATGGATGTTATATTCGTTATCAGGGCATCGGATTACCCCTATAGGCGAAGTTTCATCGGAAATTAAAATTTTGAAATTTTGGGGTTGTAATAGTGGAATAGTACCCGAATTTCCAATAACAATTTCGAAAACCTACTTTATTAACTCCATAATATCTTTATTCTTGTTAGTACCATCGATCGTAAAGATGTGTTCATTGCTCACCACTTTATAGCGTAAAGGATAATCTTGTACTTTACCTTCCCATTTTACTGTGATCCATGCCTGGAAAAGACTCAAACTCCCTTCAGAAAACAGCTTTCAACCTCGTTCCCGCTCCAATATTTCATACATCTTTTCAATGGCTCTCTCAAAAACCGTCACGGACCTTAATTATTCGAATTCTGAATGGTCTTACCACAATATTCAATATTCCATAATCGAAATCTGCTTGTGTATCTAGTCCCCTTATAAGAAAATCCCCTTCCTTTACTAGTAAGCCGACTATGTCTTCAAGTGGCAGACAGCCGTGATACCACTCTTCTTTTTCTAGGTCCTGAAGTGGTCGTATTGGTCGGTTCAAGCATCACTGCCCAATTGAAAATAGTTCTTACTGCTAAAATTCTATCTAGAGCAAATCCCAGCATATCTGTTTCTGTCTTGGTAGTGTGCCCAGCCTGGAACACAACTTCCTGACTATCGTTGAAGAATTATATTTTATGTTTTAGCGATTCTCACCCCGACCAGATCAAAAGAGGGAGCCTCTTGCGCTGTTCGTGCTGCTTCATCGTCTTTTCCCAATTCCCCGTCGGGTTCCTTCAGGGCCTGTAAATCCGAAGCACATCACCACGAGTTCTCTTACCTGAGTCCCTTTGTAGGGCAGTTGTAGAACGGTTCAGAAAAAATGTATCAAAAGAGTCGAGAGTTGTTAAGTCTAAAGGGATAAAGTCTTGAGGCATCAATCAATCTCGTCTGAGGGATGCGCTCATACATTCGACTTTCATTCAGAATCATAGGGGCGGGTTGAATGTCTATGTGACATACACAATGACTTGCAGTGACCAGCCGATGTATAAGGAAGTGCTTTTACCCTTCCGGACGAGTCTGATACCAATAAACCAAACCCGGATGAAATCGATGTCCGCCATTCGGGATTCACGAGTGTGTGAAGTCTGTACAACCTTTTCACGGAATGGGAAAGGGTAGGCGTGGATGTAACAAAAGCGGCTACGTGCTATGAAAAGACAAAGAGCTTTTACTACTGCAGTGTGCTGTGCAGTACCTTCCGTAGTTACACTCACTGTTACTTACAGTAGTCCTCTGTTGATGGTACTCGAAAATCAACGCTGTAAGCAACCTCGCTTACGGCTATGTTTATAGGAATCGACCTGTTATTCTTGATCTTCACAGTAATAGTCCGTCGAAGATTGAACTCTCCCTTGGGGTCAGTGTACTGGCTCAGCGACTTTACTACGTCAAAAACTCACAGTATACAATGTTTCTGAAAAGTGCCAAAGTAAAAAATGTCTCAAATCTGCATTGCAATTCGCACACTATCACCATATTCCAGCTCGGGAACACAAACATTTTTTGATCAATTTTTTACTGAAGGGTGCTTTTCAACGTCTCCAAATGAAAATGGTACAGCCACTTCATGTATTCGAGTCGTGTTTTAGTTCAAGTAAAGAAATTGCTTTGTTCATGTAATTTTCTTCATTTTCAGGCAGAGTAAATGGGATAGTTGCTTTAGGTATTTGAGAAAGATCAAATCCTCGCGAAAAAGGAGCAGGGTCGCAGAATCGGTTGGGAGATTTGGGTCGATGTCACGCAGTTGTGGATAATTCCGTCGAGAATTCTGAAGCCTATGGAACCAGAAGATGTGCTGGACATCCTTCGCTGGTGTCCGACGGAGAAAAGCGTCTTATTTTGAAGAAGCTTCGAACTCCACCAAGTCCTCTATGGAAACCTGATCGTCCTGACCCTTAATGTCTCAAAAACACTGTTTGGAAGGTGATCAGAAAGTCCAAGTTCATTGTCAAGCGAAAAGTACTTAAGGTGCTTTCACGACAGAAGACATCGAGAAAATCGGGTCGCTTTCGCTAGAAGGTGCAAGTGCGAACCGAAGGGAATAACCGAATTCCTGATGTGCTGACATTTGACCTTCCTTCTCTTGATGGTTTTCCTCGAGTCGTTTTTTCCGATGGAAAGAAGTTCAATTGTGATGGTCCACACAGGAACCGATTTTATTGGCACGACCTGAGAAAAAATCCGGTTTTCTAGACGGAATTTCAAAGGAACTCCTCCTTTTATCGAACTGTTATGCGCTGTGACTTCTCCCTTTCTGGCGTCAGAATCGGCGCCGATCTTGTTTTTAGGCAAGATGACGCCCCAATTCATCAGAAGGAGCACCCAAGCTTGGTTCTCTCGGCATCGGATTGCACTTCTGCCCTGACCAGCGAACAGCCCCGATTTGAGTCCGATGGGAAATGTATGGGGCTTCATGGTGCAGAAGATTTACGCCTAAAACAAGCAATTCCGAGGCTTCAAGAATTTGAAAGAAGCCATCATTGAAGCATGGCACCAAGTTGGCCCAGGTGCTCTTTGATAGTCTTTATTTGAGCCTAGATCACCGTATTTTCAAATTTATTCGAAGGAATAGTGAACCAACTGATTATTGACTTTGCAACATTCTCTCCTCGTTTTATGTTTGTTGATAAATATTACATTAACTTTGTTATTGGCTGTGTCATTTGGAGACGTTGGAAAAGCATCCTTCATTGAAAATTGATCAAAAAATGTATGTTCCCGAGCTGGAATTTGGTGGTAATATGCGAATGCCATTCAAATCTGACACATTGTTAACTTCGGCACTTTTTCAGAAACATCGTATACTGAGGGTCTCTGTGAAAATCAGAGGTGGCTGTATCATTTGGAGACACACTATATAACTAGGACAACCTGATTAGACAAACAAAGCTCTGAGAAGTATAGTCCAGTTTGTGGTATTGTATTGATTATGATAGTATTATCAAGTCGTAAGCAATTCCCTCCATCTCTTCGTAGGTATGAATAGCGGTCGAAGTCTACTTGAATCATTCTGTTCCCCTTTTTGGGTAATCTGACCTATGTGGGCCACTTCGCCGATGAGAAAGGGATCATGTATCATACGGTTCTGCCTTCTACAGCTTTTTATAAGCCCTTATCAAATGTTATCAGTCTTTTTCACCAACAGAAAAATCCCGCATTGAACGCCAGTCTCAACGCTACTCTGTAAATGCTAAGAGAATGAAGAACGTATAGTTCTTCTGTTATAAACTTCTTCTGCTCTTATCAACACGTATCGGCTGTTATCAGTTCTTATCTTCTTCGATTCAGCCTCACTACACTCCACCCAAGGAAGTGTCAATGTTAACCCAAGGCGACCAGCGTCTCTTGACTTCCGTGGCCATCTATTTATCAGCTCTTATCAGTTTTTAGCAGTTGAGATTATGCCGTGGGATATAGTACGTAGTCCGTGAAGTTTTGCGTCCATTGCATTTCACTCTATCATTGTGAAATTGGTTCTCTTTTCGTTCTTGTCTTTCAGTGAGTCTTGTTGTCAGGGCACCGATTTTCTGGTCCCACGAGCAGACTATGTATTCACAAAAGCAATGTTATCCCTCGATCACAATGGAAATGAAGGGATACCGTTTGAATACGATAGTCTGACGGTGGTACACTTGCAGCAAAGAGGCGGCAAAACTGCCCTGCGTCCAGTATGTACTCGCCATCCTACTCCCGCAATTGCGGTTGCCGTCCTTCGTCTTGTTGATGTTCCATTCATTTTTATGAAACCCTTTGTGTAAATCTCATTTTATTTGCAAGTAGGCTATAGCAGTAACTGTAGCGGCCTACAAAGAAAGCTTTTCGGTCCAAATTACTGTAGTGTCGAGAGGAAACATGAAAGCAATGTCATACATCTGCTAGAACTGGAAGAAAACCACCTCACCTCATTTCCACTTTCCACTTTCACCGGTTTGTCATCCATAGCTGATGAAGAAGACCACTTCGAGTAACGTTAACACTATAGAATGAATATGAACCCTCCTACACTCTCCATCAATATTTGCCGAAACAAACACATATCATAGGCTATCGATATGAGATTTGTTCTGGTCGGAATGTTTACACCCTTTCAGACGATCGCTTCCGGCGTGTAGGAGCAGAGTTTAAAATAAAAATGGTTTGTGAAATTCTCTATAAAATGAACCTGGTATCCAGAAGTACAGCACAAGAGACGGTGTAGGGTCGGAAAATGGTCTAGATAGGGCTTGAAAAGGACCCCAAAATCGGCTTAGCCGGCGTACACGCCCAAAGGCGGACGAGTTCTCGCGGCGTTGTAAAGGCTGTAGAGGTTGCTTTATTCGCCGGGACGCCCTCGCTGCACGCAACTCTATGCACTGTATCTGGCTGTACGGAATGGCACACACTTGGACAGCTCGTCCGAATATCTTTCGGTGCAAATTTGTCGTCACACTCTTGTCCAACCCTTATTCTTTCTACTTTTTTTGAGGACTAATATTTCTATTAAGACCTGAACTTTGCCTTCCCTTCGCCATTGGCTATTACTTCATTATTTTCCTGAGACTACTGATACTTAGTTCTTGTTTAATGCTTTCGTTTTCCGAGACCTTTTTAAAACCGTACTTTTCCTGGATTTCATGCCGGCTATCGCCTTCTCCGCGTGCCCTACTGAACATGATATCAGAAGCAAGAATTGATATTCCCAAAAACCTGAAAAGCAGTGTTTGGTAAGTGAAGAGTAGCTGAAGGCGTCAATCCAAAAAACCGATTTGTTGCTTACTTAGGGAGGTCCTTTATCGTCAAAATGGCGCTAATTCCTTAACTTGTGTACTTGAACTTCCCCGGTTGGAATGAAACTTTATTGGTTAGAGAATATTTTATTTACAATGCAAATTGAAAACCCGTTCTCACAATTAACTATTATCTCCTGATTTGTACGAATCGATGAGCCTTTGAAGTACTTTCCGTTGATCCACTCCTGGAATTGCTTTTGGATTGTATGATCTTTCACGCAAAATGAGAAATACCTGCTGATCTGTCTAAAATCTTGAACCAATCTTTACCTTGAAAAACATACGGTGCACTAAATAGAATTCCACACGTGCCTCCTACCGTAATACCAAAAAATACACAAAGCAGCAGGCGATCGATGATCATAGCAACATACTTCCATTCATCCCGATGCTGAAAGTCATAACTCCAGAACGTTTCCACCAATGAATTCCCAACTTTCTTCTTCACTCCTCTGTTGATCGCGCTCAAGGTCATGTGGTTTGGGTGGACTTGCCCACAACACTGACATTCTTAAATTATGTTCTCCCAGTCAGGCAGATCCGCCCAAGGCAAGCCTTCCATACCTCCAGGATCGGATAATTTGTACAAGACTCGTCTGCGAGGATAATGGCATTGACTTGTACATTCAGTTGGCCACCACAAATCACTGTATAAGCCCCCTTTGCAAGGAATCTGTTTCATTTTCCTGGGGAGAAATTATTTTGCTCGATATTAGTAATGGGAGCCGGAGCGGAGTAATTTTAATCTGTCCACTTTCACACTAATGGTTCTGAAATCACGTCGCAATCTGTGCCCGCTCAGGTCAAACAGTCTTTCATACCCTCTAAGGTCAGCTAACGGGACCAGATTTGTCTGATAGAAAAGGGCAGACTTGTACATCGCTTGCCCCCCCCCCCCCCCCCGCCCTCATCCCCTCCCCTCTACCTCAACTCAGATGTCATGGTATAGTACGGTGCGCATTCAATCGCTGCTACGGTTCTGAGTGAAAGTCTAGTCTTGTGCGCATCCCACAACCAGGATTGAAGACCGTCGAAGCTGTTCATAGAAGATAAAGAGAATCCTCACCGTTTTATGTTCCTCGTCGTGCTTCACATGATCTGTAATGTATTCGATGGCATCCAGTGCGGAAAGTGCGTCAGGTGATAATGGGTGGAAGCGGGCAGTAGTGGGATCTGAAGGAATGTCACCCGAGCTATAGGCCAACTTCAAAGCTGCCCTGAATAGTTGATATCCTTTGGAAAGCAGTTTATCTGATTTCCATTAGTATGTACCTCGAATCAGCGCTTGGGCAATGTGGATGATGTTTTGCTTTTTTGAGGACGAATTGTCCAATTCCAGGTAGTTGAGCTACATCTTTCTTCTTAGGACCCATCAACTTACGAGACGTAGATCTCGGCCGTTGCATGCACATCATAAAAGGCATCCACTGAATGCACGTGAATACCGTACCTTATATATTATACATTGGTTACGGTAATAGTACTAAATCTCACCTCAAGGAACAATGTTCGTACCCACTGAGGCATTCGATGAGTTGTTGGACTACGAAAATAGACATTGATAATAATTACTGTGACTAAGATGGTGATAACATTGAGGACGAACGTCAGCAAAAGATACCTGTAGGGTGACCATCAAATTCTGACTGACTTTTATGCTGAGGCTCACTGTTTTGAGGCAAGATACATGCGATAAATCAGCATGGATGATATCAAAACCCTCCCTCAATTAGCTAAGTTGAGGTAATAGTTCGAAATAATATTATGATAATATGAAGTAAGAATCAAAAATTCAGGGAGATGTTGTGTACCGACTTTGCCATCAGCGGAATAGTACTTGATGTCGGTGGAAGGATTTTTGATACAAGTAGCAGAAAGACGACTATGGAAAGTAGCACGTACGTTGTCAACGTCATTCTTTCTCCTGTAAACATGGAGAAAAGTAAACAATGAGAAAATTTCGTTATTCTCGTACAATTAGCTACTTTTCAAACTACAACAAAACTACTGACATTGCCGATTTAAGAAAATTCCCTAGTTTTGCATTCCTGTCACCCGCCATAAGTGTTCCCACCCTGTCGCCTGTACTCCTACTAAGTTTAAACTTTCTAGGTCCACGGGGACAGGAGTTATGATTTTCCAAAATGCTTTCATAAAGCATTGCATTTTTGGAGAACGCCCCGCCCATCGGGGGTGGATCTCCCTAGTTCGATCTATCTTACCAAAGCACACCTCTTGCCATCTTTAAACACCAGTTTTGAAGCCGTCTTGTGACTGAAATCGAAACACGGATCTCANAAGGAGCTAAGGAATTTCGTGACAGACATACAGACAGACAGAACGACAGGCAGGCAGAACGACAGACGACAGACGAAGCGCTTTATAGTAAGTAGGATTTGTTACCACGCAATATTGATCATTCATCAGGGAATCTTTTCTAAAAATACTTTTACCTGAGTCAGTTGGAAGAAAAAACACCGTCATACTTATAAATGTCATCAGTACCGTGGGAATAATTAATACAGTGGTGTAGAATAATGTCTTCCGCCTGAACAAATAGATAAAAGAATGAGTGATTACTCAGTTTTCTGAATACTTCAATTTTTTGGGTATCATACACTTTTTGAGAATACTGAACTTAACATGAAGGGAACAGACTTCTGGAAATTTTTAACTTTTAAGGTACAAATGAATAATTTTGAAAATATTCAACTTCAATTAAAGGCACTGTTCGCGATAATTCAATGGGCGGGCACGTCATTGACGTGCCCGCCTCTCATTCGACGCCACGTCGGACTGTCTGACGTGACATCGAATCAGAGGCGGACACGTCATCGACACACCCGCCCATTGAATCATCGCGAACAGTGCCTTTAATAAGATGGAAATTTCACTCGACATGACTTCGGAGTATACTTCGGTTTATTTGTTAAGCTGCCATATACCCAGGCTTCGAAGGGCTGGTTAGAAAACACGATTTGTTGGAGCAGAAGGTGATAGCAAATGGTAAAAGGTGAATCGCGCTGAGGTCTTCTGATTTTCAGATTAAGATAGTTACCTCAGGTCGTAGTCACTTTTAATATGAATCAATCCTGCACCTTGTCAATTCCTCTCAAACTCACAAAAGCGGATTGCAAGTATTATCCTTGAACATTTCAGAACAACATTCGTCTAACCTGATTCGTACTTGGAATTCAATTCGACTTCGTTTGTTCACGAGCGATGCAGGAGCATCCATCACATCCCAAATAGAAGACGGCGCGTATTCCGACAGATCCACCCATTCGGCTTGTTCGAATTCCAATTTGATCTCTTTCTCATTGTACTAGAGAGCAATTATGTTTTACTGATAGTTCCAGTTTCTATCAAAGTCACCGAAGTGCTCACCGTCCACGATCCAAATACCAACGTGCACACCTGTTCATCGAATGGGAAGAATTCTACGTCTGTAATAGAAGCATCCGGATGTAAGGCTCAGGTTTGCAATTTATCATGCAAAAATCCTTTTCTGTGCTAGATTCAATCAATATTTATTTATTTATTTATTTATTTATTTACCTACTCATTTACCATTTTACATCTATTTATTTGATTATTTATTCATGGTTCCGAAAATAAAAGAAATTGCAAATGACATACCGATGATACATGAACTTTTGTAGATTGCAGGTGGTACCCACAACATGTCACCATGGTTGTTTATGACAACATTACACATGAATGACACTTCATAATTACCATCAGCGCTTAAATAGAATTGAGAGTCAAAATTAAACCGAAAATCAAATTTGAATTGAATTAAATCTGATATTTCTTCAGTAACCAGTGCTCAGTCGCTACGTTCATAAATTTCCGAAAAAAAAAGTCCAAGATCCAAGGGATAAGAAATTCTTCGAGAGCCTTTTTATGATTTTCCCTTTTTATTACAAAGAACATCATTCTATTTTTATCTCCTATCACTTGTTTTGATAACCGCATTCGTAGGCATAAGCGATTCGTTACAGTTCTGGATTTGGGTTACTGGTAATCCCAATCCTGATTTATGTAGGGGTAAGTAGGGTGATAAAGTTTGATTCTACCAAACTATTTCACTGCCTTCCTACTCCAGTATCATGAAACTTTAGTTAGAGTTATTCTGAAGGGATATCATTCATGGACTTTCCGGGCAGAGACTGGTGGGCTGTGAACTTATAATGCTTATAAAAAATGGTTTTCCCTAATGACAGCTACTATTTTCTGTACATCGAAAACCACGTCTCATGAGGTGTTTTTTTTAGCAAAATAAGTTGTTTATTTGACACGTTCGCTTTCGATCTAGCGATTTTAGGACCTACTTATTGAAAAGGACGATATCAGGTAACCAGACTTTATCTGGGCTAACTCGTATCTCTCTAATCTCACCGTAGTCCACCGGATTCCATCGCATTTGAAAGTCGTGCCATTTCTGAAGAAATTCAATAGATCAATAATCGTACAGAATACTGTGGAGGAAAGCACCCACCAATGTTAGCCATACATTCGTATGCATCACCTGATTCTTCTCATCCTGCAAAACATACATCATTTGATTTAATTTTTTCTTGCTGAATTTCCCTAGTTTGAATGGATTTTCAGTGAAAGACCCTTCGCTCGTGTTGGGATCATTTCTTTCTAGACTCAGTATGGTCGGAATCTCAAAAACCGCTTTGTACAACAACGAAAATGACAAGTTATTGAGGAAGATTGACAAACACTCACCACGTTTATAAGTAAGACAAGTTGCAATGCGACCTTCACAGTGATTGGCATATCGCTGGTATTTCTGGTTGGCTGTAAAGGAGCTAAATGTCCCTGTCGGCAATACTCAAAAACAGTTTGGGAACCCACTTGAATGAGTGAATTGTAGCCACGAAACACGTCCACCATGAGGCGTTCCTCATCGTCGGATGCGAGCACTGAAACACAACGTGATTCTAGTTCTGTTTTTACGAATTTCGGACTCAGTACAAGGCTATTTTCAGAATTAAATCAGAAAACAACAATTTCAAAGGTTGATAAGGTTGCCTAGTCAAAAGTGCTGGATTGTACATAAGTACGAGGGCTGCCTTTTATATTTCGGGATTTGGAAACACTAGTGTAGCAATCTAGCAACTGACACCACTATCGTAAAGTTTGTCTATTTTGAGGTTACGTTGCGAAATTTGAGCACGATTTGTGTTGTTTACACTAAGTTATAAGATTTTGTTTCGGCCAAGTTATGGAGTTGAACCGGGGGCATTTTCGCGCGACAACTTTCGACGTGGTCTAACTCAACAGCAATGCATGGATGAACTTGGTTCAATTTTTGAGGATGAAGCTCTATCCAGGATCAGTGTTTATCGATAGTACAGCGAGTTCACCCGGGGTCGTAGTTCACTCGAAGACGAATTTCGTGGAGGTCGTCCAAAATCAGTTGTCGTTCCGGAAACGGTTCATGCTGTGCACAAACTAATACTGCAAGATCGTCATGCGACCTATCGTGAGATTGAGGCGACCTTAAACATTAGTGGGACTAGCTTACATTCGTTTTTGCATGAACATTTGACTGTAAAAAAAATTGTTTGCGTTGGATCCCACGTCACGACAATGGGAGCTCCAACACATCGGCTCAAACAACCGCATTTTTGAGCACTCAAAACAACGATTTGACAGGTCATTAGCCATGTAGTCCCCGGGTGACTTCTTCTCATCCCGTAAGTAAA